TCTGGGTCGGGGTCGGGGCCCCCACGGCCACGTAACAGGTGGCCCGGTGTCACCGGCCAGTGTCCGGCCGGCGCGTCATGTGACAGCTGCCTGGTTCGGCTCTGCAGTGAGCTCACCCCGGAAGTATGCCCTTGTTGCCATGGCAACACGGTGACGTCACGGGTCGGGCGTGGTCCTTTCCGGCCCGGCTCAGAATCTAGACCCCCAAAGTGGGATGGAGTGGGGGGGCCCTTTCAATCGGTGGCTGTGGGTGGGATAAATCAGCGAGGGTTACCATAAAAGACCCCCGCTGTCACCTGGAAAATGCTCCATCTGTCCTGCCAACAGGAAGTGCTTTTATTGTTCTGTATTCCGACTACTACTAAGAATTTCCTAGCGCAGGTGAGGGCTGGGCACAGAGAGGCCGGGTCAGGGAGCCCAGCAGCCGGGCTCAGGCTGGCCTGGCCTGGGGCCAGCGTCAGAGCCCAGCACCCAGAGCCGCAAGCCCCTCTTCGGGCTGACCCGGGACTGGGGCCTGCAGGTCCCAGCTCCAAGGGGATAGGGCACCACCCCACCCCACAACCGTTACCCCGCCTGTCGTGGTGTGTGTGGGCTGGTGCTGGAGGGCGGGGGTGGCCCTTCTGTGTCCTCTCAGCCCTGTTCCCAGCGGGGAGGGCAGCAGCCACAGGGCAACCTCGCCTCCCACCAACACCCTGCCCAGCGGGCCACAGGGCCTGTCCAGCGCATTGAGCCGTAGCTACCTCCCAAGTAGCAGCCAGAATGGCAAGTGTGGTGGTGCTTGCCTGAAATCCCAGCTCCTTGGAAGGCTGAGGCAGGAGGATCATGAGTTCAAGGACCACAAGGTCAGCCTACGTGACCTTGACTCAAGATAAAACAGAAAGGGCTGGGGTGCAGCTCAGTGGTGAGGCTGGAGGGCCTGGCTCACCCCCAGGGCCAAAATGAAAGACAGCAAAAAAAGGAAAGAAGGAAAGAAAGATGTTCCCTGTCCTCTGAGTGAATCCCAGCGTGACTGGCCGCAGCTGTAGCGGGGGGATGCTGCCGTCCGACCCTCCCTGCCCAGGAAGGTGCTGGTGTAGAAAAGACAAACCACAGTGGGGTCCTTTATTGCTGGAGAGGGAATAGAGGGCCCTGTAGCCATCAGATGAGGTATTTTGGGGCCACTGCTCCCCAAGGGCTAGCTCCTGAAGGGCTCCATTGGCCTGGCTACCGGTCTCTCTGGCCCAGGACAACTTCCTCCACCCCTGTGAATGCCTGCACTGTGCATGGTAGGGGACAGGCCTGGCGTGGGCGTGGATCCTCGGGAGCTGGAGCCCCCCATGTCACTCGGGGGAGTCAGGCTGGTTAGCCGCTCACTGAGCACATGGCCCGGCTGCCCTCGCTCTTGACAAGAGAGGGAAACCAAGGCACGGCAGGTTAGGGCAGCCATGAGGAAACATATGCCACAGAGGGCAGAAGGTCAGAGGTGCAGCAGTGGCAGGGACAGCAAGGCGTGAAGCCACCATCTATTTGGGGACACCGCCAGTAACCGGATATGGTCCAAGGGAGGAAGGGCGGTCACAGGACACCAAGCCAAGGATGGGGCTCCAGGCTGTGCCCAGGCTTACTTCCTTGACTCAGGCAGGCCCGCCATGCCTCCCGCAGGACCGTGGCTCAGGACATCGCCACGCTGCAGAAGCTGGGTGTCACCCACGTCCTGAACGCCGCCGAGGGCCGGTCCTTCATGCACGTCAACACCAGCGCCAGCTTCTACCAGGGCTCGGGCATCACCTACCTGGGCATCAAGGCCAACGACACGCAGGAGTTCAACCTCAGCGCCTACTTCGAGAGGGCCTCGGACTTCATCGAGCAGGCCTTGGCACACAAGAACGGTGAGGCCCTGCCGGCGGGGACCCCCGGGGACCAGTGGAGACTGGGCCATAGCAGGATGCAGGGGGAGCCTCTTCCTGCTGCCCCGGGGGGTCAGAGGCTTCAGTTCTGTCCCAGGCTGCCTGCTGGCCCACGGTGATCCCGAGTGAGACTTGGTTCCCCAGGGGACGGCGCATTACACCTATGACTCCACGGGGCTGGGCAGTGACCTCTGCAATGGATTCTCCCAGCCAAGGATGTGGCCACAGCAGGGGACCCAGGAGCCGCAGGCATCGGGAGACCAGGCCAGGTCCCTGTCCGTTCCCCCATCTCTGTGCTGTGCTGTCACCCTGTCCTCTGAGGGACAATGTGACCTGGAGGCAGAAGTGTCATCTGTGCTGCATGGCCGCTTCTGCGGTCCAGCGTGCAGCCCTGACCCCTGAGCATGCCCACTGACATCACTTCCTGCCTGTTTCAAGACCACCTGGAAGGGACCCTTCCTGCCCTCTGCCTGGTCTCCTGCCCATCCTTGGTAGACACCACCCCGTGCTGTGGCTGGTGCTGAGCCTGGTGTCCCCTGCTCTGTGCTGCCTGCCTGGGTCTGGGGTCCCCGTCAGTAGCCCTGGGCTCTTTGTGCCTCGTCCTTGGTACACTGCTGGGGGCCACCGGATGGGGACACCGAGTCCTACCGATTCACCGTGGACGGGAGGAGGAGTGGCAGTGACTCAGCAGAAAGGCGTGGACCAGGGCTGTCGCTGTCACGGAGAGCTGGTGGGAATGCCAGAGGGTGCCGAGGCGGTGGGCGTGACTGGGGCCGTGGGGGTGCAGCCTGCTCTGGGTCCACTTGTGATGGCGCACTCGGGTGCCCTGGGCACGGGCTGCTGGGCCTGGGCCGGGGACGGGAGGAGGCACAGAGGAGGGTGACAGGGCCACTGAGCCGGGCCAGCAGAGTCCCCTCCAATCCTGCCCGGCGGAGGCATGGGAGCCATGTGCCCACAGAGGACCCTGAGCCCAGTGTGCTGAGGCTGAAGCTTCTCTGAGCTCCAGGCATCTGTGAGCAGCCTATTGTTACCGGTCAGGAGCCCCGTGTGGGTGCCCAGAACCGCACAGGACTCCTGTGCCTCCTGGACACAGCCGGTGTGCAGCCCCAAGACAGTGAGCGGCATGCTGGGCAGATGCCAGTTGTGTCCCATGGCAAGAGCAGGGTGACACGAGTGTCGCCGTGCTACCTGGAATGGCACAGAATGAAGACTCAGGTGTCTCCTACTTAATTTTCAACTGCTGTTGACCGCCGGTGACAGCAGGAAGTGGAGCCGTAGGGAGGGGCACTGCTGCCTGACCGTCTGCCCTCCACACGTGGCTGCGGCACCAGGCTGGCCGGTGAGGCGGCAGCGTGGTCACAGGAAGCCTGTGAGTCCCCAGGTCGGGCCAGGCCCTGGAGGTCCACATGGGTACATCAGCAGGGCACCCACGGCCCTCCTGACGTGGCCACATCGCACGTCTCAGCCCCAAGCCACAGTTTAGACCCAGGTCACGGGGCTCAGAGAGCCGGACCTTAAACCTGACGCTGATCAAGGAAACACTCGAAAAGGATCGTGGGCCGGGTAGGAGCATCCTAGGGAGCCAGGAGAGGTGGGCAGGGATGAGGGCAATGCTGTGGATGGCCCTCTGAGCCACGCCCCAGGGAGCAGACTGTAGCGTGAGTGGCAGGCACCATACAGGGCTGAGATGTGTTTGAGGCCAAGAGGGTGGACGCACCATTCCCACTGTCCTGCCCTCCACCTTTCCTGCCCGTCCCTCCCCAAGAGAGCTGCGTGATCTCGGACCCACTCAGGTGCCCAGTCGCGTCTCCAGACGTGCCTGCCGCGTGCCCCTTCTCCCTCAGGATCAGGACTCTGTGGTTCACCCACTGGCTGTGGCACTCTGCGCGGGGCCTTCCCTCCTTTCCCGCGGTCGTGTGGCCCACCTATGGCTGGGCGTGCCATTCCTCTGGCTCCTGGGGAAGGACCTTGCGTGGTGGGTCAGCCTGCGCTCAGGAGCAGCCGGGTCACCAGTGAGCACAGGCGGTGCCTGGGCCCTACCAGGCCCCTCCGTGGCTGTGCCCACTCCGGGCCCACTGTCCCCGGGGACCGCGTGGGGTCCTGTGCTGTGTCTGGCAAGATGTCATCATTGTCACTTGATTCCATTGTTGCCCAGCCCTCGGGGTCCCTGCGTGGGCCGCCATGACACAGCCGTTGGGGCCATCTGCTCAGTAACCACGAGGCAGAGCCACAGTGGCACTGCAGGGCGGTAGGGTCGCGTCCGGCTCTGTCCTTCAGCCTCCCGGTGGTACTGTCAGCATCCATCTCCCAGGACAGCTGGACAGCAGCGTGGGGCCCTCACACCTCACCATCTCCTGCAGGCCGGGTGCTGGTGCACTGCCGTGAGGGGTACAGCCGCTCCCCCACCCTGGTCGTCGCCTACCTCATGCTGCGGCAGAACCTGGACGTGAAGTCAGCACTGAGCACCGTGCGGCAGCACCGAGAGATCGGCCCCAACGACGGCTTCCTGGCCCAACTGTGCCAGCTGAATGACACGCTCCGCCGGGACGGGAGGCTGAAGCTCTAGGGCCAGGAAGCACAGTGTCCTGCCCCGCGTCTGTCACTAGGCCCCTGCCCCCGTGTCCCAGCATAGCCCGGCCGCGTCCCGGGTCACAGCTTTGCTGGTGTCCTGCTCCCAGCTGTCCCTTCTGGTCGCCTCTGTCCCCGGAGGTGGGGCTGCTCCATGGTAGGAGCTGCGCCCAGTGCCGAGCCCAGTAAAGGAGGGTGGCTGCATGTGGCCCGCTGTCCTCCCCGGGGCCCCACAGCCGCCCACACCCTGCCTCGCTGCCGGCTGTCGTCCTGGCGGATGCCCCGGCTTTAACGTCAGCCCAGGGCTCTGCCACGCCTCAGGTGCCAGTGCTGGGTGCTGTGCTGCCCGCCGAGTGCCCTCCGGAGATACCGTGGGTGTGGGCTCTGCTCTGAGAAAGCAGGGTGGGGTCTGGCCTGTTTGCAGCCCCAGCACAGGGAGCTGAGCACAGGCTTCTCCAGAGCAGTGTGGGCCCCAGGCAGGTGGGAGAGCCGGTGAGCTCAGCGCTGTGGGTGCAGGGGCGTGGGGCTCCTGTTCTGGGTGCTGTGATGCTGTGCGCCAGAGTCGTCGCTGTCACCGGCCGGCGTAATGTGCTTCATGCATGTGCCGGGGCCAAGCTGGTGCACGTGGGTGATGCCCCACATGTGCCCAGCTCCCGGGGCTCCCACCTCTCCGAGAAGGGACGGCAGGACTCATGCTGCACAGTTGGAATTCAGCTTTGCACTCGGGCTCCAGCCGAGGCTGTGGAGGAGCAGGGGCGGGAGCACTTCCGGCCTCCCGGGCTGTGAGGGTCTTCGCTGCTGCACCGCATGGTCGCCGTCCCCTGCTCCGTGCCCGCAGAGCCTGTGCCGCAGCTGCTGCTGTCTTCCCCGTCACCTGCCGAGCACAGCGGCCATCCACATATGCCTGTGCTCCCCACTCATCCTTGGGTTCTGGGGGACGAGGCTGCGGCCCTGGCTGCTTGGCCTGCTGCTCCCGGAAGCGGGGTCCCTTCTTTCCAAGGCTCCTGCTCCCCGGGCTGGGGCGTGGTCAGGTCCACCACCCAAGCCCTCGGCCCAGCACAAGCAGAGGGTGCGAGGCAGGTCCCTGTGAGCACCCCAAGGCAGCGCTCCTGCCCTGCTGCTGGAAGTGGCTCCAGCAGGGTCACCCCGCGCAAGGCCTCCCTGGGGAGCATGTGGGAGAGTTCCCGCCTTCCTCTGGGGCTCTCCATGGCCCCAGGAACCCCACACTCTCCTTTTGGAGTGGAGCAGACGCAGTGTTGGTTGTGGCCGCAGCTCTCTGCCCCTGGGGAGAGCGGCACAGGGACTCAGGGTGCCCCGGCCCCTCCCTGTCCCTTCTGTGACCCTACAGAAGGAGAGCTGAGACTGTGAAGCTGGTGCTCCTCCCTGGCCTGGTTCCCGCCTCCACTGTACATGGGCTCCCCCACCGATTTAGAGCCCCCCTAAGTTAGAGATGGTGCGCACAACGCGGCGGCCAGCAGGTGGCGCTGCGTCCTCGCAGTGGCGGTGGCCGTGTGGGGCAGGGATCAGGCTCCAGGCTGCTGGCGACCCTCTTACCTCCTGCCGGCTGTTGGGGAGCTTTGCTAGTGAAAGAGCGATTTTTCAGGACAAAGGATGAGGCAGGCTGGGAGCTGGGAGGTCAGCTCCATGGAGAGTGCTTGCCTGACACCCTTGAGCCCTGTCCCCACTGCCACCGAAAAAAGAAAAGGGAAGTTTACTGTCCGCTGTGTCACTGGTCAGTGTTAAAGCACTAAAATCACAACCAAAATAAATGTCTCGCCTGACGAAAGCACAGGCCCTGTGTCCTTACCACCCTTTCCTTTTGCGCTTTAACACTTGGCCTCTGCTTTTTCTAACTTTCAAAGATAGCCATCACCTGAAAGTGAGCATGGGCTTCCGTGATGGGTCTGTTTCTGCGGTGTCCGTCCAGGCATCCCAAGACCCCACAAGGCCCGTGCTCCTGGGGCCCGGGGGCTGCGTCCCAGGCAGCCTGGCCCCTGCTGCTCCCAGCCCCGCTGTAGGCCTGGGTCCCTTCTTCCTGGGGGTTGGCACCTCTGGGTGTGGCTGCCTCCCGCCGGGTCAGGAGATCCTCTTCGAGGCAGGGCCCGTGGTGCCGCCTTCCGCCAACCCGGACAGACTCCATTCTACACAAAGCCTTTGTTGTCTGCGTTTTCCAATTGTTATTTACTTAGGAATCCACGTTTACAGTCTGTACTAATCCCATTCCTCACTGGGCGTTTGTTGGCACCGTGTCTTAATTACCCCTGCCGTCTCGGTTCCCCTTCCCATGTGCAAAGAATCTGTCTCCCTGCTTTCCACTTTCTCTCTTTTATTTTGCTTCTCCTTTATCATGTGGGTTTCTCAGATAAGGGAGACCACGGAGTGTTCGAGCTTGTGTGTCTGACGTATCTCCCTTGAGAGTGTGGTCCCGGGGCGCATCTGTTTGCCTGCAGAGGACTCAGGTTTATCCTTCCTCACAGCAGCATAGTTCTCCATTGCTCTACACAAAATCTCACGGCAGAAAACGAATATATAAACTGGTAACCCTAACTGTAACTCTCACGCATTTTAATTAATGAAGTAAAACTGTATAGAGTAATGATAAGCAGCACAAAAAGCTGTAGTGATGTGGGAGTCCCTTGTTACCCCAGCCTTTTGTCTCTCCCTGCAGGAAGCCCTACTGAGCACGTGCTCCTGGGAGAACCCCACACGTACACAAGTGTGCACATTGTGCACGTGTGTGTACATGTATGTATGGACCTATCCCCCCTGTCAAGAGCAGGCGTGCCATGCTTTGCTTGCCAGCACATTTTAGTGTGTCTGCTTGTGGCTCTTGTGTCCTTGTGTCCATGGGATGGATGGCCACAGGTTTCTGTACACTCCCATTTGAGAGGGCCTGGCTGCGGGGGGCGTGCACAGGATTTCAGATGAGATTTAGGGCAGCGTTGTGGGCCTCCCTCTATCCCATGCAGGGCCCTGCCCGCCGTGTTGCTGGATGGGGGTGCAAATGTCCCGGCTTAATTGTATTTTATTTATTTATTTATTTATTTTAGTTTTTTGAGACAGGATCTCGCTATGTATTTGAGACTGACCTAGAGCTCACTATGTAGCCCAGGCTGGTCTTGAGCTCACATCGATCCTCCCGCCTCAGCCTCCTGAGTGCTGGGATTATAGGCGTGCACCGCTGTGCCCAGCCCAGCCTAATTTTGAAAAGTCAGACTCTGAGGTGCAGCCTGCTGGAGAGGTGGCCCTTTGTAAGAAATTCCCCTTGGTTACTTTTCTCATTGCTGGGACAAAATACCTGACACCTGTACTGAAAGGGGGGGAGGATTATTTAGCTCACCACTGTCGGGGTTTCAGTCCATCGGCCAGCCCCCAGGCTGGGCAGGTGGCAGACGGCATGGCAGAGCAGAAAGAGCACATGGCAGGCAGAAGGCAGCAGCAGGGAGGCAGTGCTGCTCGGTTTCCACGGAAGCCCGGCCCTTTGGGTGGTGCCGTTTGGGTGGCTTCCCATTGTCCACACCCAGAACTGTGCCTGCCAATCTGTGGGCTGATTCGGTACCACACACCCACAGTCCCAGCATCCCGCACCCCAGCTCCAGCCACCTCTGAAAAGCCTCCCATGACCACCCGAGGTTTTGGGGGACGCCTAGACTCAGCCCTCATAATGTTCATCATCGATCGGAGGGCCCATTGCAAAGTTTCCCTGAAGCAAGTGAGCCTGGAGGTGGTGCCACCTACGTGCAGCCCCTTAATTTAATTATGCAGCTATTTGTTTTGCAGTGCTAGGCAAGTGCTTTACCACTGAGCTGCACTCCTGGCCCAGGCAACACTGAATGGACAAGTGGTGCCCAGCACATTAACAGTAGATGTATAGCATTCTGGGAGGCTGAGGCAGGAGGATTGCATGTTTAACTCCTGTCCAGACAATTTATTGAGACCTTGTCTCAAAATTTAGAAAGGACTGGGGATGTAGCTCAGTATGAAGGCCTGGTTCAATCCCTAGTACCATGAAAAATAATTCCATAACATTTGATTAATGCTTTTTTTTTTTTTTTTTTTTTTTTTGTTATGGGGATTGAATTCAGGCCCTTGTCCTTGCAAGACAGGCAGCAAAATCACTGAGCTAAATCCCCAGCCAATTCACATTTTATTATATTTCTAAATAATTAAAATACATGCTTCTATAACTGTGAGACATCTCCATGGGAACTGGGGGTCAGAAAACCTGGTTGGGAAGCCTTAGATCCGGATTGCAGCCCAGGCCCGAGCCCACAGCATGGGGCCCCGCCCTGAGGAGAGGGGAAGGAGGTGGGGGGTCAGCGAGGAAGAGAGTGGGGCCGGCCCGGCCCGCTGGAATGGAGGGGCCGCCCACGGGCTCAGGTCTGCCCCAGGCCTTCCGGGCCAGGGCGAGGGTGGAACCCGGGCGGCTGAGGAGAGGCTGGGCCAGGCAGGGCCCCAGGATGCTCTCCAAGCAGGAGGCAGCTGCAGTGACCCAGTGGGCTCAGCGGGGAAGAGAACAAGTCACAGACTGCAGGGGACCAGGTGGGCCTGCTGCCCGTCTGCGCCGGAGCTGCCTGGTGACCATGACAGTCCCCAATTCCAGCCAGTCCTTGGGGCACTGACCGTGGGCAGATCGGACACCATCCAGGGATGCAGCCGCAGGGTTCGGAGGGGACCCGGGCTGCAAGACTCTCGAGGCTCCTGTCAGGCCCAGGACTGAGCTTCCGTGGAGCTGAAGAGGCACAGTTTACCTTGTCTCAAGATCAGGCCCATGCGTGATGGCCTCCCGCGGGGCTCCCAGGCCCACCCCACTCAGAAATGCAAGCCGGGCCTCTGAGACCATTTGGGGAGATTCTCAGGGCCGAGCTCCAGGGCCGCCCTCCGGGGACCAAGGCCCCGAAAACAGTCACCTAAAACCGCATGCACGTGTGCACAGTCGCCTTGGTCCCAGGCTGAGACTTGGGAGTGTTCGAGCCCCCACGCCCTTCCATGTGCGGGAGGAGGCGTGGACTCACCCAGATCTCCGGAAAGGCTGGCCTCATGGCGCGGGGCAGGTGAGGCCGAGAATGAGAAATCGGGGCTCCCAGGTGTCAGGGAGAAGGGCAGGCAGAACCGGGGACAGCCAGCTGCAGAGGCTGTGCTGGACAGGCTCCCAAGGTGGCTTGCACCCACCTTTCTTTTCTTCTTTACTCATTTTCCATGGTGCTGGGCAGGTAGCCAGGGCCACGAGCCTGCTGGGTAAAGCACTCTGCCGCCCATCCGCACCAGCCCGGGCTGTTTTAGAAAAGGCATTGGGAGCTTTCCTGGTGGCACTGAGCATGGGTTCCAGGTGCAAGGTTGCTTGGATACAGACCTTATTTCTCCTTGGACAGGAGTGTGTCTCCCCGGCCTCAGTACAGGTGGACAGGAACAGGCAGGGAAAATAGGCTTTACAGAAATTAAGGTCCCACTGTTACATTTATTTATTTTTATTTTTATTTTTTTTGGTACCGGGGATTGAATTCGGGTCCTTGCGCTTGTGAGGCAGACAGTGGAACCACTGAGCCAAATCCCTGGTCCCGTTAAAGTTAATTTTAAGAAATGACAGCGCACAGCCAGAGTGGAGAGAGGTGCTGCTCTGTGCCTCAGAAGTGCCTGACCCAACTTCCGGGTGTGGCCTGGTTTGGAGCCAGGGTTGAGGCTCCAAATGGACGGGCCTGGGAAGAGGGGGCAGCTGGACAGGGAGGTGGGGGCTGCTTCTCTGAGCCCAGGGACATGGGCCACGAGAGCGGCGGGCAGGAGTGGCCTGGGCCAGGCCCCGCTCAGCCGCCCACTCTGCATGCTGGACTCCGGGCCCCAGGACCTGCTGAGCTGCCCACTGCGGTGACCATGGCGACCACTGCTGGAAAGGGACAAGGTTAAAACAAGTCGCTGTGGTCTGCACCCCAGTGGGAGGAGCCTGCAGCTGTGAGAGCCGAGGGAGAGGGAGCCAGTGCTGGCGGGGTCGTGGCGGAGAGGGAGAGTCAGGCGTCCTGGTGAAGGGCGATGCGGAGACCCCGTGGCCGCCAGCGGCGCCTCCTCCTGACTGGGGGTGGGGGACCCCAACAGGGGGAAGATCTGTGGAACGAGACACACGCATGTGCACAACATGTGAACAGGCCTAGGGAGACAGAGGTGTCGCCACACTGCGGGTGTGCAGGCTGTCAGCGGGGGGGAGCCGGAGAGCGACCGAAACCTCCCCGAGTCGGTCCACGCGTCCACGTGACTCATGGCGAACCGAGGCAGAAGATTAACTGGAGGAGAGCGACCCCAGGCTGCAGCTCCCCTGCGTGGGGGGCGCTCCACAGTCCAAGCCTCTGGTTCCCTCTCCTTTGTGCACAGCTTCAGCCTTGAGTAAAATAACGAACTGAATTGAAGTCCCGAACCTGACCACTGCAGCCCAGCAGGTGGCGGAAGTGTCCCAAGAAAGGGCACAGCGGTGCTCACTGGCCTGGGACCGCTCTGCCCAGCCACTGCAGGGTTAACCGTGCCATTCCCGCCTGGGGGGATGGCTCACCCCCCACCAGCCACAGCTGTTTGCTCTGCCCTGAAGGAAGCTGAGTCAGGAAGCGGCTATCAGAGAGCTCTTCCTGCAGGGTCCGTCTGGCTTGTAAAACTGTCAGAGTGGCTGTTCCTGCTGGTGATGGACGGGGCAGGACAGCCGGCACTGCAGGTGGACACAGGGCATGCAAGTGGGGGCAGGCGGCAGGGCCTTCCGGGGCTCATGGGTGGGGGCTCCGCCGCAGCCTCGGGTGTGAGCTGCCCGCACCACGCCCACCCTGCCCTGCACACCGTGGCCCTCTCAGGGGCTGTGGTTTCTGCCCCAATGGACCCAGACACCAGGAGAACGCAAAGCTTTGAAAAGCGCAACAGACAAAACCGTCAGCAATGAAAATCCTGGCTTTGAGTTGTGCTAGGAAAAGGTTTAGTTGCTGGGTGCCCCAGAACGGCCAGGGAGACATGTGCCACAGCCAGCGCCGGTCAGTCTCCAAGGGGCAGCAATGGACAGGAATCCCGCCCTCCCCCAGGTGGCCCTCAGCTGTCTCTCTGGTCTTGCAGAGGATGCAAGGGCAGTTGTGGTGAGCCTCATGGAGCTGTGCTGGCCAGGTGCTCCCTCTTCTCTAGGGTGTGCTACTGAATTCACTATGTAGGCCACTTGTGGCGATCCTCCTGACTCAGCCTCCCAAGTGCTGAAATCACAGCCATGTGCCACCACGCCAGCTCCCCAGTGAGGTTTCTTAAGAAGCAGTTTTCTCAGGTGGGGCTGCAGCTCTCAGGTATACAGAGCACACCTACCTGCCTGCGTGAGGGCCATGGCTTGATCCCCAGCACTGAAGGAGAAAAAAAGCATCCTGTGGCTGGGCCTGTGTCCCCTGGGATGGTGTGCTGGGGAGGTGACAGGGCCTAGGCAGTGATATCACCCTCTCAGCTGCAGGAGCTCAGAGCTCTGCACTCCTCGAAGTTCGTCCTCAGACCAGGTGGGAGGGGGCAGGAGGCAGTGAATGCCAAGCTCATTTTGCTATCTGCAAACCACAGCCAGGCAGGGGCC